CCAAGTGCCCAAGGACAAATGAAGAAGTTGTAGTATACATACACAAATGAATACAACTCAGCTATAAGAAATGATGAAATCTTGCCTTTTGCTACAACTCTGGAAGAAACATTGGAGTATTACATTTAGTAAAATAAGTCACTAAAAACAAATACAAGATAATTTCACTTACAGGTGGAATATAAAGAAATAAGGTAAGAGAAAGGACAAGGTTCAATGAAAACAAGTCCTTGGACTCTGACACCAGAACTGAAATTAAGGGAGGAGGAATGGTATAGGAAGTGGGAGAGATATGCCAGATGAGAAACATAGTGGTGTGTTTTGGGAATGTTGGTGGTGAAATAACTTTGTATGCCAAAAAATTTAAATATTGGGCCTGGAGCAATAGCACAACGAGTAGGGAGTTTGCCTTGCATGCAGCCACCCAAGGTTCGATTCCCAGCATTCCATATGGTCTCCTGAGCACTGCCAGGAGTAATTCCTGAGTGCGCAGAGCCAAGAGTAACCCTTGTGCATTGCCGGGTGTGACCCAAAAAGAAAAAAAAGAAAGTTAAATATTAACACTATGTAAACCTCAATCACTGTCACTGTCATCCCGTTGATCCTCGAATTACTTGAGTGGGCACCAGTAACGTCTCTATTCCTTCCAATCCTGAGATTTTAGCAGCTTCTTCTTACTCATCTTTTCCCAATGACTGGAGGCTCTTTCAGGGTCATGGTAATAAGACCTGTTGTCGTTACTGTATTTGGTATATTGAATATGCCACGGGGAGCTTGCCAGGCTCTGCCTGTGCGGGTGGGATATTCTTGGTAGCTAGCCAGGCTCTCCAAGAGGCATATATTTATATATTTTTCTCTATGATTGCCTACTGTCTGAACCCCATCAGATATGGTGTAGTAATTGTTTAAAATGGGTAGGAAATGTCTTATAATGTGTCTTCGCGGCCGCAAGGTCAGGAAAGCGGCCTGGAGCATGGAGGTAGTTGGGTAGTGGAGGTTGGCTGCTGGGACTGGGTCCCTTGGGGTGGGAAGGGCTCTCACCCGCCCGACAGCCTCAATAACAACAAAATATAAGCAAAACCAAAAAGTATGGATATTTTTCATTAACAGTACAAATATCCAATCTCTAGATTGTCAAGGCTCAGGAAAACAATTTCATTCAGCTTGTGAAAATTGTAGCATACTTCTATGAGTATCTTATAGAAGGCTTGAAGGTATATATTTTGTTTAAAATTTGGTATATAAATATTGTTATTAAGGCCCTCAAAAAATCTCTGTGCAGTATTGACCAAAAAAAGGAAAACTCTGTGAGCAAGAAGTCTTATTTTATGAAATAATTTACTTATTTATCTCAAAGGACCTTTTGAATTCTAATACAAGTGGGTAAAATAACAACAGCAAAACTAATTGTAAACAACTTTTACAATGAGATAAACTCATGGGTGTAGGAACCCCTTTGCTATCTATATTTATTCTTTTCCTTCTATTAAATATTTACAAATTTACATTTGCCCAGTGAATTTAAATGTGAGAAAACTAATCTCCTGCTTGCATATGTAGTATATATTTGTAAAGACTCCTATTTTGTTCCCCATTGCTAATATAAAATGAACTTTAATTAAAAAATAAATCAGAAGGCACTCTATTCTGGAGCTGCTCACATTCCATTTCTGGGTGCCTAGTTGTTCTTTTACTTTAAGGCACTTCAACCTGGGGTTGGTTACTTACCCAAGTTCCTCTTTAGGGCAAAAACTTCCTTTATTTGGGGGCCTTTCTTCTCTTCTGGAGAATCTCATATTCTTCTTGGAATTAGAATCGTCCTTCAATATAATTCTTTTACTACACACACACACACACACACACACACACACACACCACATCAGGACTAGTATGTGGCTTCCATCCTTAACTCAATAAATAAGTCTCTTGGTCAGCATGGGCAGGAATATAAAACATGCAGCAATAGCACAGTGGTAGCGCGTTTGCCTTGCACGCAGCCAACATGGCCGACCCGAGTTCGATTCCTCCGCCCCTCTCGGAGAGCCCGGCAAGCTACCAAGGGTATCTCACCCGCACGGCAGAGCCTGGCAAGCTCCCCGTGACGTATTCGATATGCCAGATACAGTAACAACAAAGTCTCCAATGGAGACATTACTGGGCCCGCTCGAGCAAATCGATGATCAATGGGAGGTCCTTTACCTTACCTTACCTTTACATTCTATTTTTGTCAGTCTAGCTAATGGGACAATTGCTGTGAAATTCCAAAATCCGAAGTGCCCTCAACAGCTCCATGTTTACTATTGGGTGAATAATGTTCATGATCCTTCATTCCATGAAGATGTTTCACCGTGCAGGCACCATTCCATGCACCAAATAAGAAGCTTTATAATGATGAGAAAAAAGGAATTTCAGTCAGAAAATGTGGGCTAAATTATTGATACTATATAAAAGGCTTGTTTTTCATAAGAACAGAAGACCCTCTATGACTTAGTTCCCTACTTTGAACAATTAATAGTACCAACTTCACCATCCTGATGAGACAAAAACTGGAAAAACAACTTGAAGGCTATATCAAGTTTGACAGATACATGACGTAGGATAACATATTATTTAAATAGTAGTTTCTTCAATTAATAGTTGCAGCTATATTTTGTTAAAGCAGCTTTCTGTTGGCCAATGAAAACATTAACTAGTTTTTTTTTACATTCATATGTTCACAATGATATTCTATAAAAGTATAGCAAAACCTCTTTTCAAATAATAATTTATTTGGGGTAGTGGGGGTCTGAACCACACCAGCTATTCTCATGATGTTCCCCTGGCTTTGAGCTCAGGGATCACTCCTGGAGGGGCACATATGACCCATATGCAGCTCCTGGTATCAAATCTGAGTCTCCATATTCAAGGCAAACACTTTAATCCCTGTTCTAAATCTTCAGTCCCTTTTCAAAATAAATAAACAGAATGCAAATCACAAATCCATTTAGGTTTACATTTCCTTTTCAAATAGCCTAAAGGTGTAATTCAGCAGATCATCCTGTCTACAATAACTCTAATACTATTATTGTTGGGACAGAGAGAGAGCATCAAAACCTAGTAACAACAACAAAATACTGTTATTTTTCATCTCTGTAAATGTATATATAGTAAGGATGGCCTTGGAGTAACTAGAAGGAAAATCAAAAGACACGGTATTTGTAACCATGAGGAAATAACTAATATGGAAAGCAAAGGCATTAGAAATTGATTTTAATAAAGAGCATATTTGATGACACTATCTCAAGACATCAAAAACATTGTTTTTTCTGGTTTTGTTTTTCTGGGATTACTTTTTTGGTGGGTGAGGGGCACAGCTGGTGATACTCAGGGCTTACTCCTGATTCTGTGCTCAGGGATCACTCCTGATGGGCTCATGGGAACATATGGAGTCCCGGGAATCAAACCTGGGTTGGCCATTTTACTACTGCTCCAGTACGATGAAGACATTCTGAAATACATGACTGTAAAACCTAAAAAAGGAATACTATTATCTAAAAATCCATGAATGAACTGTCCCTTTGTAAGTTCTGAAAAATATTTCAAAGGTAATTTTATCATTTGAGAATATGTGACAAATTTCTGCTTATGAGTACTTGTTTCAAGATTTTGCAAACTTCCCTAAGTGCTACAAAGACAAATATACAATGTAAGTGAAAATAAGGATATTATTCATTAATTACTCATCCTTTGTCCATAACATCTTGTAGTCATTTGCAGGATCATTTGAGTGATACAAAAGGGAAGATGGTAAACATACAGAGAGAAACTTCAGACTCAAAAGCATTCCATAATATTTAAAGTGAATAATTCCATTTTCATTAGATAATTAAAGTGATATAACTGTATTTTTAAAACAACAAATGAGGTAATATCTGCAATTTCCCCTAGGCTACTGAGATGTTCATTAAAAGCTGAATTAATTGTTAAAACCTGAAAATAATTTCTATTATAGTAAACACCATTAATTTTAATGTTGTCTGGAAAGTGAAAATATGTGCATGCCTAGAATAAGAGAGAAAATTCTACAACTGACAAAATATCCAAATACATTTTCCTCTTCAAGAACTCACACTGTGCTTTTTTTTGCATTGATGATAACCAATATTTCAGTTCACTATTGCTTAAACAAATCCCTAAAGAAAACTGGAAACAGTTAATACAGAAGAAGTGCCTCTTGGGGAGCTACAAGAAAGCTATAATAATTGGATACAAATCTATAGGAATGGCTTTCTTTAGTTGAATAATATTTTTAGTTTAAATATACTGAAATTTGTATATTTATAAATTTATAAATATTTATTATATAATCATGTATATAAAATATATAATATATGGGCTGGAGCAATAGCACAGCAGGTAGGGCATTTGCCTTGAACGCAGCCAACATGGCCAACCCGAGTTCAATTCCTCTGCCCCTCTCTGAGAGCCCAGCAAGCAACTGAGAGTATTTTGCCCACACGGCAAAGCCTGGCAAGCTACCCTTGACGTATTCGATATGCCAAACACAGTAACAAGTCTCACAATGTTACTGGGCCCACTCAAGCAAATTGATGGACAATGGGAAGACAGTGACAGTGAAATATAATATATAATATTTTGTAAGAATCAAATTTTTGAATTTGTGAAAATGTATCAAGGCAAAACCTGGCAAACTCCCCGCGCATATTCGATATGCCAAACACAGTAACAACAAAGTTTCACAATGGAGACGTTACTGGGCCCGCTCAAGAAAATCAATGAACAATGGGGTGACAGTGACAGCGAAAATGTATAACTACAATTGAATGTTATAGATTTATTGAGAATATAAGAGAAGATATATGGATACATAGAAATAACAGTAAGACATGCCCAATCCCTGCCATAAATTTAAGGTCATGGTGAATCAGTTCATTTGGTTAGTTGTTTCTGTTCAGCTCATCAATTGAGATAGAATAATTTGTTTATCAAGAAAAAATGCAGTGCTTGCTTCGGCAGCACATATACTAAAATTGGAATGATATAGAGAAGATTATCATTGGCCTTGTGCAAGGATGACACACAAATTCGTGAAGCGTTCTGTATTTTTGTCTACAACTGTACCTCATGGTGTCTAATAAAAATTTTTTTTAAAAAAGGGAAAAAAAGAAAAAATGCAAAACATATAAGGGGAATTCCGATTACTATTAGTATTTGGTTCCCACTGAATGAGGCACATGAAAATCATCACTTACTATCAGAGAAATCAAAATCAAGACAACAATGAGATACCATCTCACACCAGTGAGAATAGCACATAGCGAAAATAATGGAGCAATATGGGGTGGGGATGTGGTGAAAAAGGAACTCAATCATTCCCGGTGGGAATGTTGTCTGGTTCAACCCTAACAACAGTATGGAGGGTTCTCAGGAAACTTATACTTGAGCAGCAATTCCACTTTGGGAGAATTTACCCCAGGACAGAAAAATATTCATTCAAAAGGACACATGCACACCATTACTCACTGCAGCACTCAGAACAATAGCTAGGATTTGGAACCAACCTGGATGTTTAACAACAGATCAGTGAGTCATGGAAATGTGGCATATATATGCAACGAAATACTATATAGCTATATAAGGAATGATAAAATTATGCAATTTGCTGCAATATGGATGGAACTGGAAGATATAATGATAAATGAAGTAACCCAGGAGAAGGATAAACATCGGATGATATCACTTATATGTGGTATTCTGAGTAACTGGATGAGTAAATATAATAGTCGAAAGGGGGATGCCTAGACAACCCTTGGTCCCAAAGCATAGGGAGGAGAAGGAAAGACAATGAGTGTTTGGAGGGGGCGGGGGAGAAGAGATGTATGAAAAGCAACAAAGGACAAGGGTCAAGGTACATCAGTTGTGTTGGGGAATGATAGATGTAAATATTCAAAACACATAGTCAGCAACAACATTGCTTCTCCATCTTTTGACTAAGATCAAGTGTAGCAACCCTGGACTCATGATACCCAAAGTTATTTAAACAAGCTTAAAAAGGTGTGGGTTGAGATGGCAGGCAGGGGTGGGTGTGGGGGTAGGAGAGGGAACCTGGGAACGCTGGTAGAGGGAAGATGAAACTGGTGGTGGGATCAGTGACAGAACATTGTATGTCTAAAACACAATACTGAATAATTTAGCAAATCACATTGCTTTCACAAAATAAATTTTGGGGGTAAAAGGAAAAAAAAGTGAAAAATAAAGTTCCCACTGAATCTATTTAGTTCTGCCAAATGCATTCCCTAAACTATATCATCTAAGAATGTTTATCTGCATATTAGTTTAATTTTCAAGTAATCACTCAAACTATAAAAATTCTATCAGTGACAAAAATCTTAAGTAGGAAGAAGCTCTAAATCTTGCTTCGTAAACATTTGTAAATAATTGTGAAAACCAAATGGAATTTGTCCTGTTTTAAATCACTTGAAAGGCTAGATTTCATGAAGACAAAGTTTCTAATGAGTCGAAGACAAACCACCATCCACCATGTACCAGTAAGAAAGCGCAAACTCAAACCAGAATGTAGCTGAGCGGTAGTGCTGATGCCTTGCATGCATGAGGCCCTGGGTTCATTCGCCAGGACCAGAGAGACAGAGACAGTGAGAAAGTGAGGCTGAGAGTGACAGAGCAAATAAATGCTACTAATTAAAAGATGACAACTATAAATTTAATCAAATTAAATCCTGATTTCAGAGATATTAAATGTGTGCTTAGAATCTGTGAAATGTGATAGCCTTTGTTCATCTTCCTCATAGAGAACATCTATGTAGGCACTAGGGGAATAATTACGTTCACAAGTAAGCTTGTGCAGTAATTAAGCTCAACCTAGTTCCATAAAATAGAAAATTATTAGGTAATTATTATTTCACCTATAAAATCCCAGAGAACAGAGAACTATTAAGCATAACCACAATGGTGATATGACATAAATTCTAAGTAAATATCACCCTAAGAACTAAATTAAACGTGGGGTAGTTATGAAATTAAAAACTAAAGGTGGCTTATGAGGAAAGGCAGGCTTCACTGAACTGGACAAGGGAACTAAGAGGTAGCAAGGGTTTCACAAGTGATAAGTGAAAACATTAATGCTATAATTGGAGGGAAGACTGTCGATCCAACCAAAGAAGGTGATTTTTATCAACGAGTTACAGTATCCTAGCAGCAGCCAAATATTCCAAGAGTACACTGTTAGTTCATAAAAAGTTAACTCGTTTGACATTTAGAGTCATAACTTTCTTTACCAATTCCCCAGTCTCCCAAAGTAAAAGGCTCTGCCATTATCTGTGACTTTTTTTAGTTTAGTTTTATTTTGTTCCTCATTTTAGAGTCAAAGAAAGAGCCTTTGGGGACCCATGAAATGGCTCATTTTCAAATGATAATGTACTTTATAGTTTTGCTTATCAATGTGAGATTAACTTAGAAATTAAATTAAAACCACAAATTTAAAACTTTTGGTTCATTTCAAAGCCAAAGATTTAGTCAGTATTCAATAATTAAAATCATCACAAATTTATTTTTAAAAAAACCCTAATATTGTGTGGAGGTTGAAGTGCTTAGCTCACAACTGAAAACCATAAAGTAAACAAAACATGATTCCTATATTCAAGAATATCCAAAATTCACAGATGTGTCAACAATTCTATGGCATTATATACCACACATCTTGTGTCCTAACATCTCATAATTATATAGAAAAAAAAGAAATCAAAAGGCCAGAAAGAGTACAGCAGGTAAGGTGAATGCCTCGCACACAGGTAATCTGCATTGATCCCTGGCACCCAATCTGGTTCCCCTGAGCACCACCAGCAATGATCCCTGAGCACAGAGCCAGGAGTACACCCTAAGCACCGCTGGGTATGGCCCTACGCCTAAAATAGACAAAAATAGCAATCAAAGTATTGAAATTAAATGTTGCTTATAACATCACGGGCTGGAGCGATGGCACAGTGAGTAGGGCATTTGCCTTGCATACAGCTGACCCGGATTTGAATCCGCCATCCCTTTCAGAGAGCCCGGCAAGCTACAGAGAGTATCCCGCCCCCACGGCAGAGCCTGGCAAGCTCCCTGTGGTGTATTCGATATCCCAAAATCATAATAACAAGTCTCACAATAGAGACATTACTAGTGCCCACTTGAGCAAATCGGTAAACAAAAAGAGGCAGTGCTTACAGTACAGTGCTTTTAACATTACAGTTCAGGTATAGTCACAACATGGTAAAGACATCAGAAGTGTTACTGTATCTTGCTACATGAATTCAGAAGGAGTAACCATTTTTATTGTCTTTTTTATAGTTACAAAAGCCTTCATGACTGAGTTTCAGTCATACAATGATCAAAAAACTCATCCTTCCACCAGTGTACATTTCCCACCACCAATGTCCCCAGTATCCCTCCCCCACTCCACTCCACCTGCCTTTTGAAAGGCATTAGTGATATTAACATGAAGAAAGGATATTTACAAAACATTCATGCATTCATACGACACCATACCCTTCCACGTCTTTGGTGTGAAGAAGCTGAAAAAGATGCTGGAAATCTAGAGGGCCGCTATAATGTCATGAAGGGACTTGAATATGTGAGCTTCATATCCCAGATCTCTCATCTTTTCTGAAAGTTCACGTTAAGCCTCAAATCTTACTCATCCATATGAAATGGAAGATAATAAAACGAAATATCATAGGCAAAAGTACTTGGAAAACATAAGGAGCATATTTTCTGTGTGAAAATAAAAAGAAATCTACAAAATCTCCTTTTTATTTTCTGCCCTTTTCTTCTTCATTAAAAAAAAATGAGCACTGGAGAGGTAGTACAGCAGGCAGGGCTCTGGCTTTGCACAGAACCACCTGGGTTTGATCCCAGGCATCCCATTTGGTCCCTCAAATACCACCAGCAGTAATTCCAGAGTCCAGATCCAGGAGCGACCCCCGAGCCTATTCCTCACCCCCTACAAAAAAAAATACTGGCCACGCAGTATGCCAGTGCTTCGAGACCTTTGTCTGTGAATCTCTCTCTCCTTCCTTCCTTCCTTCCTTCCTTCCTTCCTTCCTTCCTTCCTTCCTTCCTTCCTTCCTTCCTTCCTTCTGCTACCAGCTTGTCCTCTAGTTTTGTGCTGTGGTCCCCTTTGAATATTCTGGGGACCCACAGAGAGGCCATATAGCCCGCAGTTGACAAACACTGCTGTAGACAAAACAGTGACTCCCACAAAGATTTCCAGGTCCTCAGGTGCAAAAAAAAAGAAAGAAAAGAAAAGATTTTCCTTACATGGCAAGCAGAAAGTTTCAGATATGCTTCAACTAACACTTTGAGGATGAGAAATTCTATTGGACCCACTGGGTGAGTTCATGGGGGTCCTTATTTATTTTATCTTATATTTTTAATCTGTTTTGGTTTTGTGTTTAGGCTTCCAGAACAGTGCTCAGGAGATGATCCAGGGAGCCCCATCTGCCACTCTCAGGGATTCCATGCAAGGGCCCAAGCATGCAATGTTGCTGGGGTCATTCAGCACAGGGGATCCCCGGGGGTCACCCACTCCATGCAGGGGTCCTCCAAGGCTGCACCTGGAGAAGTCTGGTGGACCCTGAGGTGCCAGGAATTGAAACAAGTCTGGCAAATATCTCCTGGCTTCTGGGTCCTTAAGTTTAAAAAGAGGGCAGCAAGAAAGCGAGAGTTGGGACTGGAACGATAGCACAGAGGGTAGGGCGTTTGCTTTGCACACAGCCAACCCAGTTTCGATTCCCGGCATCCCATATGGTGTCCAGAGCACCATCAGGAGTAATTCCTGAGTGCAGAGCCAGGAGTAATCCCTGAGCATCACTGGGTGTGACCCAAAAGGCAAAGAGAGAGAGAGAGAGAGAGAGAGAGAGAGAGAGAGAGATACAGAGACAGAGACAGAGACAGAGAGAGTGTGTCCTTGAAGGAATTGAGAGGGAAGCAGTGGCCCAACACTCTTTGAGTGCAGGAGTTTAAGTTGGAAGGCAGAACACAAGCCACGGGGTCTAGGTAGCCTCCCCGAAGCTGGAGAAAATGGGTAGCCCCTCCCCCCAAGCTGGAGAA